GTCACACGAGAAGTGTTGTAGCGACCCCCACTGTAGTCCCATTTAGTAAAGCTGTTCTGTGAAATATATCAAGAGAGCATAGGAGAAGCAAGACAAGACGAAGCCAATCTTTCTCACCTTAGCCTTAGCATAGGGGTCGCAGTCATTCCCGACATTCTTTGTTAGGGTTCCTTATCATGTTTATATCATAAGATACCTAAGTCCCTCTTCAAATCCTTATAAGGATCCTGCAGTATAGAAGCCTTAGAGTAACCCTTCAAAGGAACCCTTACAAGGGACCCTACCCTTATAGTAACCCTGGAGCCCTTCAAAGGAACCCTTTTAAGGAACCCTACTGTTACTACTGTTCTTCCTCTGGCCTCTATGTTAGCATTTCTGCCGAGAGGGGTGTGAAAGTGGGGGAGGTGTATTAGATGGTGTAGAAAACGGCTCAGCTAGGGCCCTAGACCCTCAACCAACCTTATGGCTTAAAACCGATAGCTGGCACCCTAAAACCAGTACAGAGCCTTTTTGCAGAATTCGAATGCAAACCAACGCCTTCTAGAACCCTGCTGCAAAACCCATTCTAGACAAACCTAAAGCCTTCAAAACTCTTACAAACACTCCACAATCGCCCAGTATGAAAGCCTGATCTAAGAAACCCACCATAGCGAGCCCCCAGGCGCCACACGCCAGAAGTCGACTCTCGAACCCCTTCTTTTCTCTCCCCGTGATAGACACGTGTAGAGGCCCTAAAACCCTAAACCCCACTTGGAGGTTCATGGGTAGTTATAAGTGGAGCCAATTATGGGTTATAATTATGGTTACCCCACTTATAACCCCACTTATAACTAGCCATGAACCTTTAAGTAGACCCTAAACCCTATACCCTCATAGAATCCCTATAGATCCCTTTAAAGGGACCCTTAAAGGAACCCCTTATAACTAGCCATGAACCTTTAAGTAGACCCTAAACCACGAAGCCCTGAAGTCTAAATCGAGCCATGAACCGACTACTGCGGCTGTCGGCACGGAGCTGGGAAGCTTTGCCGAATCCTTTTGGAACTTCGGGTGGGTTTTTTTCTGGAGATCTGGGCTTCTATAAGGGTTTAGGGTTTAGGGTTTAGGGGGTTGTACACTGGGGTAGTTCTCTAAACTCGGATCCTGCTTTAGGTCCTACTATAGTACGGCTCTTGCAAGAAGGACCCTAATAGGGGGAGCCTAATGTAGACAACCACATGCGCGTTCTGGGGTTCAAGGTTTCGGATTTAAGGGTGCTTCAGTTTCCGAGAGTCGGACGATGATTTCGAGTTTGAGGGTTCGCCTCGAATGATTGAAATGCGCCATACATGCATGCATCCATCCATCCATCCCTCCATCCCTCCGTTCGTACGTCCATCCATCCATCCATCCATGCATGCATGCATACATACTGATAGGGTTTAGTGGGTTAGCGTTTAGAACTCGGGCTTTAGGTCTCACTGCCCCCATTCCCAAGGCAAAAAGTCCAATGCGCATGGGCAAGGGGTAAGGCCGAGCTTCTAGACAATCATACTGTAATATACCCAAGCTCTATTCTGGACCATTGAGGCCTCGCACTATAGAAACACAAAAAGCATCGGAGAAGGCCCAGCAAAATACTAGTCAAAGCTGTTTAGAGTCCTGGAAGACTTTTTAGTGCCCTTTCAAAGCTATCGCTCCTGATTATCTGTCTGGCTCTTAGTAGGGAATGGGGGAATGGATCCCTGTGATAGTCCCTTCAGGGTCCCTTATAGTGGTCGCTGCAACCCATTCCCTCTTCAATACCGCGGCTCAGTGTGATACAAGCTGTGGCTTGATATGGTATTCCTGGGAGGGACAGGAGAAAAGGACAAGGGTGCCTAAAGACGGCTAGATGGCTGTGGGCAGTACTGTGGCCAAGGGCCATGAAATGAAGCAAGCTGTGGCCGGGAGACTTGGGCCATTTTGATGTCTGGATGTTGCGATGGATCCGGAACAGAGAGCCGGTCACCTCCGTTTTCGTTCGACCTCCTCTTGGGGGTTACTATAGTCATCAGTCTGGTTGTGAGCAATCTTTCGAGCCAGGCGAGGATAGGGTTTGCCACTGGTCCAAATGCTTCCAGATGACCGAGTACTCAGAACCAGGCAGCTACTGAGGTCCCCGTATTCCGCTCCACGGCCGGTATCTTGAAGTTTGGCACTCAGGGTTTAGGTTTTTGGCTTTCGGGTTGAGAGTTTAGGATTTAAGGGTTTAGGGTTGAGGGTTTTCGGGTTTTAGGGTTTTAGGGTGTAGGGTTAAGGGTTTCGGGTTGATCCTGAAGACCAGAACCTTGGGTTCAACACTCTACTACAAGGGCTTCAACCTAGAACAGGGTTTTGAAGGTCCTGACAGCAGGTTTTTGAAGCATGATCTAGTACACCTCAGTATAGATCAGTACAACGACGAGAAAGGAATGATATCACGAAGTCCTTTGTCAGCGTGACAAAGCCATCAAAAGGCCTAATTAGATACCATCCATCGGGACTGAGGCAGGCCAGGCCCCCTACACTCGAAACCCTTCACCCTGATACCATCCACTTAGGGGTACCAAGAAATGATTTTTAATTTTGGGTTATTATAATCCCTAAGAAACAGCTAAAATTATAATTATTGCTAGGGTTCTAAGTTCAGTATACTTGGAGGGCCGGGGGACTTAGTAACTGGTTATTTTAGGGACTTATAAGTACCATAACCCCAATTAGGGTCCTTTTTAGGGTACTGATAAGTCTACTTACTGTCTACTTACTAAGTCCCCGACCCTCCAAGTAGTCCCTTGAAGCTGAGGCACGCCAGGCCGGCAGCACCGCCTGGCAGCCAAAAGCCGCCAGCCGCCTCTGCGGCGCGAGGCGTCGTGGGTGGGGGTTTAGGGTTTAAGGCGGTTAAGGGTTTAGGGTGGTTTAGGGTTTAGGGTTTAGGGTTTAGGGGTTTAGGGTTTAGGGTTTAGGGATAGGTCGTCGGCACAATGTGGGAGTTTCCGAAAAGTAGGGGTACCATGAAATCGGGGGTCCTTATAATGAGGAACCTACTCTTTAGGGTCCTATATTAGGGTCCCCCATTATCGGAAACCCCGATGTAGGGGTTGGGGGTCCGTACAAAGGAGGCTGTAAGGGTGACTAGAATGGGCTTTAAGGGTTTAGGGGTTTAGGGTTTAGGGTTTAGGGTTTAGGGTTGCAAGTTTATCTTAACATAGAAGCGAACCGCTACATATCATTAAACTGAAGTAGAGTATGAGGCCTTGATGATCATTGGAGTCGGCTAGGTCATCATGCTCCCGTTTTCGCCATGCATACTTCTAATCAATATGAACCCCCAGAGCCCTACTCTAAGTATTTAGACCTGATTGATGTTACGCTCCTGAGCCCATCTAGACCCTAAACCCTAAACCCTAAGCCCTCAACCCTGAACCCTAAACCCTAAACTCTAAACCCTAAGCCCTGAACCCTGAACCCTAAACCCCTAAACCCTAAACTCTAAACCCCTAAACCCTAAACCCAAAACTCTAAGCCCTCAACCCCAAACCCTAAACCCTAAACTCTAAGCCCTAAGCCCTCAACCCTAAACCCTAAACCCCTAAACCCTAAACTCTACACCCTAAGCCCTCATGTTACACACCGGAGTCGATCGACACCGAAGCCTGAGGCCTCACCCGAGCCCGTTGAGGATCTGAAGACTCCGGATACGGTTGCTGATATACATCCTAGGGTTCCTTTAAAGGGATCAAGAAGGGTACCTGGAAGAGGTTCCTTTAAGGGATCAAAAGGGTTTTTAGGGTTTAGGGTATAAACCCTGCATGACCCATAGTAAGGAATATACCATAATACCCATAGTTTAGAGTCCTTAAGGTAATGCAGGGTTCATATTATCAACGGTATTACTAGCAAGCATGCAAAAAATCATGATGGCAGTATTGCCCTAAACCCATCTGACGCCTAGAGCCTGAACTCCACACCCAAAGCCTTAAATCTTAAAAAGCCTATCCCGCAATAATTACGCAAAGGCTTTAGCTTGATAAAGGCTCCCAAACCCTTTCAAAGCCTGTATGAAGCCCAGACAGCACCCTTTTGCTGCAAGCTTCAGAAAGCTTTCATTCACTTTTTACACCCTCACAGAAACCCTTCTAAACTCCCTTCGAAATCCCTATCAAACCTGTATGGAAAAGTTCGCAAACTCCCTTGTAGATCCTCTATCATCCTGGAAACGGTGCTGCTAGCACCTCGGGGCTCGTGGAAGGCACTTTGCGCGGCATGCGACCCCGGTGAAGGACAGCAAAGGACCCGAAACTTCGCTTAGGGTTTAGGGTTTAGGGTAGGGTCTAGGCTGCTACATGTTGCACCATGCAGGCTGAAGATTCAAATCCTGAGCACCAATTGCCCTAGTGGCCTTACTTCCAGGACCCTGGACTTCAGCCGTATTCAAAGGATGGAAATTCCATGGTCTGTTAAAGCTGGTCTGGTCCGGGTATTCAGGGTTCAAGGTTCATGCGACGTCCAGAGGTACAGAGCATGTTAGAGGTCTGAATTTCCAGCAATGAAATTACTTCATAGTCCCTGTACAATCGTACTGCAATCTACCGCACAAGCCATATTCCAATTATTATAGCCCCTGTATTCGGATTCTGGTGAAAAAAACATAGGCGCTGACCTCTGAGTCAGGCCCTTACTTCGTCGGTGACTTCGGTTGAGGTTCAGTTGAGGGTTTGCAGAGTTAGGGGTTCGGGGCTTAAGGAGTTGACGGTTTAGAGGTTTAGGGATATAAGGGCTAGAGGTTCGACCTCAGCGTAGGCATCCAGTTCTTCCTTTACGGTTTTGGGTTGGCGTCGGGTGACCACCAGATTGCAACGGATGCCGCGCCCGCTTGGCCTTGGGAAAGACTGTTAAGATTGAGTTACCGAACTCCAGCTCCGAAACCGTGGGGGGGGGCATTTCTTGAGGCTCAGAATCTGTTGTCGGCCAGTGAAGACGGTTCAAGAGCTGTTGCTGCAATGTCGTCCATCTCCATCATGTTCGTGCCTGCGCAGTTTGTCGAGGATTCGGAGAAGCGGAGTGAAGCGGAGAGCACGGCAGCACATGACAGCGACGTCGACACCGTCGAGGACTCCAGCTCCTCTCAGGTCCCTTCGCCTCGAGCAGAGACTTGCGAGGAAGAAGGCGAATGCAGCGTGGTCGTGAGGGGTACGTTTATCGAGTTGAGTGATGGCAGCCTTGTGCAGCATTACAGGCGCCTGCGTCGATTCCAGACCGACTCTGTCTTGGTAGAGGTCTCTCCAGAAGAGGCGTACGAGCCTGGACAGTTGAGCGATGCCAAGCTGCAGGAAAGGCGGAGCAATTGCACTCGCGAAGCTGAGAGGCACACGGTGGCAGACAAGGGCTCGCTCCACGTGGCACCCTCGGCACAGGAGGTGGCAGAGGTCCCAACACGAACTACAGTCATGCTGCGGAGCCTTCGTTCTGCAATATTATCCGATGCCTCAACTCCTCTGGGTTCTCACTTTTTTTCGGGTCCTTATACCTTATACAACCCTTCGTCCTTTCGTTCCGTTGGCTTAATGGGCAGCAAGGAACATTCCTAACAACTACACCCGGGAAATGTTCCTGGAGTTGTTGGACCATCACGGCTTCGCCGGGCGCTACGACTTCGCCTACCTGCCTTGTGACTTCTACCGGGACGCCAACCTTGGTCACCCAGCTCCACTTGGGTGGTTGTCAAAATTATAGTTTGGGTACCCTAAATTATAGGTGCCGTACTATAATAGGGAACCAAAAAGGGGACCCTAATTGTGACAACCACCCACTTAACTTGAAACCGGAGCCAGGCCCAAGCAAATTTCCGAGACCTTTGCCCTAGAACCCTAAACCCTAAACCCTAAATAAACACCCCTGAAGCCTGGACCTCTGAGCTCCAATGCAGACGACACCCCCTCCATCCTGGCACTGAAAGGCTTAGCAGCTGAGTGGATACACTTTACACTTTTTGGGATAATATTACTCACTATAAAACTGAAAGTGTGCACTTTTGGGGATAATATTATCCACTATAAAACTGAAAGTGTACACGTTTTGGGGCTTATGAACTCAGTAACTAAGAAAGGCAGTGTGAACCCTGCAAAGTCCCTCTAATCAGTTCTGTGGCTGTTCCTTGATGCGGTTATCAGTCCGACTTGTCCACATGAAGAAGCCGGAACTGGGTAGGGCTTTGGGACTTTTTATATATTTCCCTTATTGGGCTTAAGAGGATCTTACTTACTAATATTTTTCAAACGCTTCAAAAGCCCCACCTAGGGAATCAATAACAAGCTTCAGGCTACGCCTTCGTGAACCTGGTGGACAGCAAGGCAGTGGAGGATCTCTGGGTAGCCTTTGACGGCTTCGTGGGATGGTCTTTGCCCACGTCTAAGGTCTGCCAGGCGGGGTCTGTGCTGGCTTTAGAGATGCTATAATTAGGGGTTGCTGTCGAGCCTTAGGTTTAGGGGTTCAGGAGCTTTGGTTAGCTAGGGTTTAGAATTGCAGGATGGGGAATTAGAGGTTCAGTTTCACTGCTACGTACCTGGACGGTGGTCACAGTCGGCTGAGTCCGTGATAAAGCCTTTCAAGGTAGCCCATGCCCGAAGGCACCCTAGACCATAAACTAATCCCAAACGCCATATGTAGACCCTTCGTAGAACTTTACGGACCCTTTACCCCTTATGGCACCCCAAAAGACCTAAACTGAAGGCCTAAACCAAAAACCCTCCAACCTAAAAGAACTCTGAACGACCCTCGTAGAACCCAAAAAAACCACACCTAAACCCCTTTACGGACCCTTGTGGGCCATTTACCCACGCCCAAAAATCCTAAACCCTCCAACCTTATAGAACCCTTGTAGATCCTTGTAGAACCCATACAAAAACCGAAGAGAACCCTTGTAGATCTTTGTAGAACCCATACCAAAAACCCTGAAGCCTTAACCCTTGTAGATCCCTGTCGAGCCCATACAAAAACCCTGAAGCCTGTTTTTTAACGTTAAAAAACATACCAAAGCCCTGAAGCCTTTAAAAAAACACACCTGTTTTTTTTAACGTTAAACAACATACAAAAACCCTGAAGCCTTAACCCTGACAGGTTCGGTGGAGCGGCCCCCATCAGGGCTTTGAGGCCCTCTCGGCAACCTTTCGGGTTTCGGGCCGCTGCTTTTTTGGCGCCCTTTGGCGGGTGCCTTTCAAAGGGGCCCTCATGGCTTTAGATCAGGGGCTTCATGTGGGTGGTTGTCAAAGTTATGGTCCCCTTTTTGGGTCCCTATTGTAATACGGCACCGAATATTTAGGGTACCCAAAAAGGGACCATAATTTTGACCACTACCCTTGTGCAGGCGCATGTGGAGCGCTTCCGGAACAGCCCGGTCATGCACAGGAGTGTGCCGGATCAGTACAAGCCGGTCATTTTCAAAGATGGCGTGTGTAAGCCGTTCCCGCGAGCCACGAAGAAGGTCAAAGCACCAACTGCAGGGTTCTACTGAGGGTCTTCATTGGTCATGCATGAAGGTTTCTACAGTATGTCCAACCCTGTACAGCAGCTCTCTTATCCTGGACTGCTGTCGTTTGCGACCCGTCGCCAATCTTGTCATTCTATCCAAAGTCGGTTTGTGCGCAAGGAGCTACGATGTACAGAGTACTGTTCCAGCAACAAATGTACAGGAGGCGACCTAAGCCTCTCGCATGGAGCCGACGCGCGTTGAGTTTGTTCAGCCTAGGTATAGAGTGCAAGGAAGCAGCACTATCTGCTTCGTAAAGTTGTCCTGCAACAGAAGGTGGAAAAGGGCCTGAGCAGTGTTGGCTTTAAGGTTGAACAGGTGGCAAGCACAAATCCGAAAAGTAAGAAGGAGAGGTCATAGATTGTCCAGAGGAGGACCGAGGCCAAAGCACCGAATGCGGTGCTCGCAGCGCAGTATATCAGCCTTACGGCCCTAAGCTGCACGAATACTTGAGATCGCAGGAGCGAACATGAACCTCTACCAGGAAGTCTTTCGCCCTCTCGGCGTGTCCACCTTCCAGCGGCTTCACTTGAACTAGACGGACTGTTTAGGTTTAGGGTTCAGGGTTCAAAGTCCACCTGCAGGTTCCTGTGTGGGCATTGATGTAGATCTTGAGGGTGTGATGATGATTATGACTATGGTGGTTCTTGCTAGTGACGAGGACATCATGGATGTGGCTGTCGTTGCCACCGTCTTCAACAGTACGTGCACGCACAAAAAGTGTTTTTGCTATTGGAAGTTGTCGTTGCTGCATTTATTCTGTTGCTAGCCGCTAGCTAACGTAATCATTCAGGTTAGCTATGTGGTTTTCATGCGCAAGGCTTTTGCTTGTGTTCGTTGTCTGCACTACCTTTATTTCTATCGCTGTAGGTTGCGGGCTTAGATGGATATCGGCCTGGTATTGACCGCAAGCCTTTTTTTCAGAAGTATTGCTCTTCCAGCCTCTTCCATTTTTTGGAAACTCTCTTGTCATTGCTGCGGACGTCGCGGTCAAGTGTTGACTGGTCACGACGCTCGTTGTTGCTGTCTGTGCTTTTGCCACTGCGATTCTCTTTTAGCTGTTGCTAGCGAGTCTCGGCTCTTGTTACGACTGTTCCGGCAAATACCCTAAACTCTAACGCCCCAAACATTTGTGTGCCATTGTTTGGGGATGTCGAAAGTTTCGGGTTGAGGGTCTAGTTTTTAGGGGTTTTGAATCTTGGGTTTCGGGCGTAGGTTCTGATGCTTTTGGTTTGGGATTTAGGGCTTTGGGTTCACGGTTTAGGACTTTTGGGTCGGGTTTAGGGTTGTGCACTGTGCGGCATGAACCTGACGATCACGGATCAGCCTCTGCAGATGCCTAGTGCAGTAGCCTAGAGGGTGGCACCGGTATGACGGTATGACCCTACCATACCCTAAAGCCCTAAACTCAAACCCTCAACAAGAGAAGCCAAAACCCACTCTCTCTCGACCTGCTGCCGCGATGGAAAGAGGCTCTCAAAAAAAGCACCCAAAACCCAAAAGCCTAAGGCCAGGATGTACGAATTTAGGCCCTAGTATCATGCGCATTCGGCGCTTAAAAACTCGAAAGGTCGGAATGTCAGAAAGTACCCGAATGCAGAACCCCAAGTTGCAGGGATCCTGATTTTAACTAGGTTCTGGAATACAGTAGTACGTCAACTATGTTTTTTTGGGACATGTTCCTGTACTAAACCACTATGCAATAGAAGTTTAAGCTTTTTCTCTCTGGTTACTTCAAGATCGAAATTAAGGACTCGAAAACCCTCCACCCTAAACAACGACGCAAGGGACCACCTGTGTTTTCTGAAAAACTGACTGTTGGAGGTATGAGAAGCTCGTGAGCCATGCCAGCAAGTGCAAGGCTGGTCCTCTTAGCTCATAGGGACCCTCAGGGGGGTCGGGGGAGGGGGGGCAGGGGGATTCACTGCCCATAACAAGGACCTAATAAGGCCTGTTTAAGTCCCTATGATTAGTGCTTAGGGTCCTACCAGGGCTCTCTAAGGAGTCTATAAGAGTTCTAACAGGGTTCGCGTATGGTTCAAGAATGGTTCAACAAGGATTTATAGATGGATGAGGGTTTAAGGTTGTACGTGGTTTCTTTAGGATTGTATGAAGGTTCGTTGAGGCTTCTACAAGGAATCGTGAGGGGATGAGAGTTTAGGGATTTGCCTTTTTTGTGTGCCGTTTAGGTGCAGCACATGTCGGCCCCTGATGCAAGGTCTGAATCCGGATGCCATAGTCGAGGACCCTTACATAATCATGCCACGCCGTCCCATCTCATGCCATATCACACCACATATAAGACATCTTCAAGATCTGTTTCACGACCTGGCAACAAGACCTTCACTGCATGTGCAGCAAACCTCGTCGCAGACCATGCCAAAAATCCGATGCATTTGCACGTCCACATTCTGGAAAGCCCAAACCCTAAACCCAAAACCCTGTAAAGCCCCCAATTCTAAGCCGGCGAGCACTCAAGCCGAAAGCCCAAACACGCAAACTCCACGAATTGAATATCTTAATCACGAAACCCTAGACTCTAACATCCCAACTTTAAGCTTCAGAAACCAAAGAAAAGAGATTCAAATTCACAAAAAAGCCGATGGCTTACTTCCCCTTATAGAAACCTTCGTAAAAACCCTCAAAAGGAACCCTGAAAGCCCAAGCAAATACCCAGCACTTCAAGTCCGCCGCGAGGCAACCAAGGGCTCCATCGTAGTTCGCGGCGGGGTCCCACATCGGAGGTCGGCGCTTCCTCTTGTGTTCTTTTGATCAGGCTAATTTTGCTGCACTTAATATTGCCACTTTCATCGCTATCTTATTCTCTTCATCTATTTGGCTGCTTGTTTATTTCGTAACTTTAGCCTAGCTTTGCATTATCGACTGGTTTTGCTCATGTTTTCGGTGTGTCCTAAGTTTTCGCACACCTTAACGCGGTAATGGGATGATGTCGTCAGTTGGTGCAGTGGGTCTTGAATTCTGTGCTTAGGGGCATATCGAGGGTTAGTGTTGATAGCTCCTTCTGTCGCATGGGAAGGTGATGTACGAGACTTGAAGGATAAGTGCAGGCTCTCGGGAAAACGTCGCATCACCCTGGCACAATGAAACGCCTCCGTTGAACCGAGTCTGGAGCAAGGAAAACTTAGAGGTTCATGGGACTTAGTAACTAGGGTTATAATTAAGGTAACTATACTCATTATTACTTATAACCCCAATTAAGGTACTTATAACCTTACTTACTAAGTCCCATGATCCTCCAAGTAAAGCGCAGGAGCTCATCCCTGAACCCCCAGGACGGAGCGTAGCCCAGGGCCCCCAACCCTCAAATAGTAACAATGACCCCGAATCGCCGAAAGCCCCACATCTCGAAACCGCATCCTAAGCCTCAACCCCTGCGGCTTGGGGTTGGAGTTCAGGCTTTAGGGCTTCAAGATTAAGGAGCTTGAGCCCTGACCAGCAAAAACCGCGTGGCTTGAATGAACATATCCTAAGCCAGTGCTTGTGTGGGAATCGCCCAGCAGGAGCTTCCCCCAAGCTTGTGACGAACCTCCATATCGTTTCGGGCTGTCGGCTTTTTGATTCTGTTTCGGGGTTACGAGTTTAGGGTATTATTAGGGTCCCCTGTTTTCGGAAACATCCAGAAGGTTTCGGATTGTGGGCTTTAAGATTGTGTTTCGGGGTTACGAGTTTAGGGACTGGGAGTTTACCCAGAGATCCCAATACCCCTTAATTAAGGAATATACCTTACATCATAATATTAAGGATTGAGGGGTATTGGGTTCTCTGGGTTGGGGGGTCAAGATACCTAAACCCTAAACTCTAAACCCTTAAGCCTAAACCCTAAACCCTAGGCCGCCGGAGGGATGTCAGCTTCTTGTCCGATGTGTCCGCTTTAAACCCTAAACCCTTAGGCCTAAACCTTGCAGTTTAGGGATGCTTTGACCTCACTCTGCCCGTCAGGTTTGTGCTGCTCACACATGGAGCCGCGATCGCCTACAAGCACGAAAATGGGCCGCTACTCCAGAGCAGCAGGTGTAGCGGTTTAGTAGTTGACAGTTTCAGTGTTTTGCCAGCATTGTCACCATGTTTATAACTTGTCAGAGTACCGGAACTCCGGTATTAACTTTCTTCCCAGAAGGCTTGTCCAGTTTGGTTTGCTGTTATGAGTATTTTTCGTTGCTACCAGAAACTTTCAGGCAGCGACTCCTTTTTTCGTGTTTCGGATTCAAGGTTTAGGATACGAGCTTTTGCCGGGCGGGGATCAGGTCACACCCCGGCATGTTTTAGCATGAGACTGTTCGTTGCGACAGTCGAGTTTGACGTCTCCTTTCAGATGCATCTCAACACTAAGCCCTAACCCCAGATGTGTCTGTCTTCACCGTGCTCGTAGTCGACATAGTACAGCCCGAAGGTTTGATCCATAAAGCTCTGATGAGCCTTTTGGACCTGAATTGGAAAACTAGCAGACCCTTCAGCCCCAAGGCCGTGCCGAAAGCCCCTGAACATCTACCAAAGGGGCCTGAATAATTGCCTTCACTAATTTTGCGGGTTTCTGATCATATTTATAGTATAGTATACCCCAAAACCCTATTCTAATTGTAGAATTCTGGGCTTAAATACCTGTACAGCCAGAACACTCCGTGTACTGATGAGGCGTGCGGCTCAGACCGCAGAGGGCTTCACGACTTAGGTTTCAAGTTAGAAGGACCGACAAAGCTGTAGGCTAAATCAAGCCGGCAGTCAGCTACATGTGTCGTGTGCGTGTAAAAGCCCGACTAGTTTTTTCTGTGCGATCCCATGGCTTTGCTCTGATCACGGATACCTTTTTGAGGAACCGTAGAACTTGGATGGAGATGAGCGAAGGGGATATTGCCAACCCAAATTCGGAAGATCTCCCTGAAAGTCAGCCTGACAGGATACCTGCCAGCTTAGGGGAAGATGACCACAACGATCAACAGGTTATGGGCGCCCAAATCGCTGGCGCGGCTCCGTTGTTGAATGGGACGATCGGTCCCATGTCGCTGGACAGTGAGGTTCGGCCAACTGTGGCTCCGAGTCTGGACTTGGGAGGCAGAGATCCACCAGAGGTCTTGGAGGCTGGGAGAGCGTCTACAGAGGTAGGCGTTGGAGGCGCATTGAGGTCTGCGGCAGGACGGGTCATGGCGAACGTGGCTGCCAAGGTACAGGGTGTGATTCCCAGCAACAAGAATGGTGCAGGTGCTGCCTTTCTATCTCGTGAGGAGCAAAGGCAAGGAGCAGGGTCGGCTGGAACCGCGGAAACCGTATATCTGTCGGCAGGCTCGGCCTCGCATGTGGAGCATGCGGCAAGGGATGTGACGGAAGCCCCTACAGGAGGATTG